GTTTTCTCTATAAAGGTGGAGCAGGTTTACTCCTACATGAGTTTACGTAGTAAATGTTGAACCTCTTACCTTGGGTGGCCCATCTAGGGATTATAGTTTTATATTGTGCTATGATACTTCGCCATTTCCTTGTCGATGTGAGGCAGTTTTTAGTTTAATACTTCAGAGACCTGATCGTAGCATCGTGTCAGGAATAATTTAATGTTTTTCAAAGCGAAACGAGGGACCCGCATGGTGTGGTGGAGAACGCGTTACTCTCCGAAAAGGACAATAGTGCGTTCGTTCCCCACCGCAGACACCTGCGGTCCGGAGTTTTGCAAATATCTCAGTACTGTTGAAGTTATATTTCGCAATATACCCTGCCATTAAAAAGAGTTCGGAGTTAATAAGAAGAAATTTAATGTTGTTTCAATTGTTTAGAAGCATTGCTTGCACTCTGTTTTAAAAGTGTAGTTTTGCTTTGGTATCTCATTTGCGGTTTCGTATGCATGATTGATTATCCTCTCAATGGTCGACCGCCTCATCCATCACGGCTGGGAGGTGTTCTTGGGTGTCGGACTGCGATGTACAGCGGGCTTCATCACCCCGGCAGGGTCCTTCAAGCTGAGAAGGAGTCCGGCGTTTCCATTAGGAAGCCTATTTAAGACTAAACCAATACTAGGATCCACCGTCGTCCTAGTATCAAACTACTCGTATGGCGGCAAATTCTCCCACTGAACACGGGCGACGACTGCCTTTGGTGGTGATGACCTGGAGCAGACTTAGGTCTGGCTGACCTCGGAACTGGGGAACCACAATGGCTAAGCCATCAAAACTCCAAAAAATTGGAGATAGTGGAGACATAGTGAGGACGGGCTGCCCAAGTAACCAAGTAAGTAAGTATGTATACATATCGATGCGTGAGGACTTAAATCATTTCCGGACTACCAATGAACCTTCGGTTTACGCCCTCCTTGATATTCGTCGTTTCAGAATGCATGCAATACAGGTTGCGCTGCACGCCGTGATATTTCCGAAGGTCCACTTGTTTTTGTTGAGTGTTATCGGAGCTGTGACAACCAGTTCAACCAAGGAAATGGAACAGAAGCCGAATCCGAGGCCCACGCTGCGTGTTCGTATGCGTGCTCATTGCCAATGAGTAGAAGTGTGTTTGTGAGTTTCCTGTTGTTTTCTTAGAGCTCACTTTTCTTGGTAAAAATTCTTCAACTAGTACAAGATATCAAATTACTTGTTTTCTTGTGTATTTATGAGGTTCTTGTTTCAATTTATGCGAAGCAAATATTTTTGTGAAGTTGATTAAAGACAGTCTTCTAACAGTTTACCGCTTCTTCGTGACTGGAAAATGTTCCTAGGTATCGCGCTGCGATGTACAACGGGAGGGTTCATCACCCGTGCAGGATCTCGCATGCTGAGAAAGAGTCCGGCGTTTGCGTCAGGAAGCCTAGCTAAGAGTAAACCAATGCCAGGATCCACCACCGTCCTTGTATCAAACTAGTCGCATGGTGGTAAATCTCCGCAGACTTTGGCCAGGTTGACCTCGGAACTCCAAAGAAACAATGGCTAAACCAGTGACACTCCAAAAAGTGGAGAATATGCTGAAGCCCGCACAACTAGTGAGGACGAGCCGTACAAGTGTCCAAGTATGCTAGAAGAACCAGCGTCGACAAAGTTGAACTATGAAATTTTTCCAATTAAAGTTCAAGTATTTCATACCTTACAGAAGCTCTTGGCTAGGAGTTGACTTAGTTATTGGAAAGACCTCGTATTTCTGTTTATTTATCACTGTTTGTTTCCTATATTATCTAGGTTAACATATTGTGGCAACGCCAGAAATTCCTGCATCCGAGTCGTTTTCTTCATGAATGACATTTATTGCTGACCGAATTGATTTTCCGTGAAACCCGAGGATGACCGTACTAGAGATGCTTAGCTATCCATCAAGAGCATTTTGTCGCCTATGTTTGTGTTTCGGAGGGAGCTTTTGGAAGACAATGTTGATCCTTGGACGAACTCGAGAGCCTAGGAGGATTGGTCAGTCCTGTGCGGGTTCGAGATAATAGTGTATTGCGCGACATCTGGTTATCACCGCGCTTCTCATTTATGATTTCTTTTTGTTTGTGTAACGATGTATTGTTGTGTACTGTTCCCATTGCAGATGTCTGTGAAGTACTCTAATGACGAAAAACCCGTGGTTGAGGTCATTCGCAGAGAAGGCGATGTTGTTGTAGACCGCGCTTCACATATGGATAATCCCAGTGTTCATCAGTTAATCTCTGGCATTTTTGGTGGTGTAAATCGTATTCCTGTTATTCAAAAGTCTGCAATTACACAGGATTCGCAGTCTGAACAGGATCGAAATTCTTCTATGGAAGATTATAGGTATGTTATATTATATTATCACTTTGTTTTGTTCCACTTCATCGCAGGTCTACTCAAATTTTTAGTAACACCGCTATAGTTGAATCAGCTCACAGTCGCATGATGAGGATGCATGAACGGATGAACGAAATGTTAGCGGCATTTACGAGGCACTTTTTTGACGGAATCCGTCGTCAAATGCAACGTCAGCGTCACCTCTTTGCAGAGAGACCAAACGGACATGATTTCTTCTCCCACATAGGTGGGAATTTTGAGTGGTTTAGCTTCCTTCGTATTATTGAAACTAACAGTACCTTGTAAATTTTCACTACTTAATTTCGATATCTTAAAATTCATCAACGATATTTGTCTACTCTAGAACATTGTTTGCTTTTTTCAGTCCTTTTCCTAATATCATTCATTGTACATTTTTAGGTCCAGAGGTCGATAATGTCTTGGCTAACGGGGAACCAATTATTATTACTCATTCTCTTACTCGAGATGAAGATAATGAAGATGTGCCCCGTCCTATCAAAGGTACAAAATTGCTGGCTAAGTTTTACCCGCCTGAGTTCTAATATTCCAGTGCTTCGTTACCAGTCTTCATCCAATCATCCACCTTCCATCTTTTACTGGATAATGATTGTGTTTGGAATTGGAGCGCTGTTGCTGACTCTCTATGCGTCTGTCATATTTTTCCGAGTCATGCGTTCAGCCGCCTACAAGAGAATCTCGGTATCACGTTAACATGTCTTTGATATGCTTCCAAATGGTTTCCAAAGATTCTCAAATAAGCTAATGTTTTCGTTCGTGTCCCTTGTTCTAGTTGAACATGTGCGAAAGGGGTAATTAGCAGGTTTGAAGAGTTTTAATGCAAAAAGGGTGAGAGCTTTGGGCTGTTTTGATATCTACTTTTAGGCCGATGGTGCAACCAGTCATCGCTCAACTTCTCTAACTAGTCCAGGTGCCCTTCCGGTTAAGAAAGTACCCTTAGATGGCTGGGTTGATCATTCGGAACCGTCTGGTGTACCACCACCGGCGTACGACCAGGTTTTTCTTTCAAAATTATCTCATATTTTATGTTTCGTTACAATTAAATTTATTTAGCCACGTAATTTTTAGGAGTCCTGTTTCACAAGATCTTTCCATAACATTTAGTGCGTTCCAGTTCTAGTTCTTTCATGAATAAATCACGTGGTACACAGAATCCCCTCTAGCTCTTTTTTGCATAATAGGTCAAACATATTTAGTGGAAATCTCCACTATAAAACTGAGTTCTGTGGGATTTTTTAATGTGTAGAGGTTTGGCGTATAGTTGTATGGGGATTTATCGTCGTGGTAGGATAATATAAGCTGTGAAAAAATCTGAAGTTTTTCGCGTAGTCTTTGTTAAGACTAAAGGTTCATAGAAAATGTCTGGTCTAGGACGTTGGGTGTGTGGGAGCATCTGTGGAAATTGTCTCTTTGTCGTTTTTTTGACGAAAGTAGATGTATTTTGGAGGACTTGAAATGGATCGAGACGATTTACGGCGAATTTTATAGCATATTTAGAAATGGAGGCAAAATTTTAGGGTTTATGCTGTAGAAAACGAATTTGTAGTGATACTAGTACGCATATTGGACATATGGAATGGTTTGTGTATATTTTAGTAAAATCTGAACAGCAACGAAGATCCCCGTGGGGCTTTCGGAGGAGGTGATGAGCAACTAAATAGTGCACATCGGGTGGGTTTGGCGCAAGAGAAGACGCTAAGCCCGTATCTACTCGTATACGGGCAAGGTAAGATGGGCCCGTTATGTGGTTCATAGGTCAACAAATAAGCGAAATGATTAATGCTGTTTGGGATTGTTTAAAAAATTGCATAAGTGTTTTCATCGTCTATGTGGGCCAGCATTCTCATTGCTGCTTATAATAGATGTCGGCTGAATCATGGGATGTTGCAATACCTCTGGCAAGCTTCCTCCGTGAATAGTGGTCGTGAATAAAGTGGCCAAACTTTCACTGACTCTGAACGCGGCCCAAAAATATCTGGGCTTGTAATTGATGATAAAATCTCAATTCAGTGTTTTAGGTATCTATCCACTCTCTACAGAAACAGCAACAACACTCTGAGACTCAGACCAAGGTGGATACTGTTTCTCCGAACCCAGTTAGCGGACAGAAGTAATCGAATTCCAGTTTATGAACAAATTTGCTTTTTCGTTCTAATACCTTGGAATAGTTCTACGTTCTGGGGTTCTTGGTGTTCTTGTAGTCATTCTTTTCTATGCGTACATACTATTGCTTTGTGGTTTGTACTGCAAGTTCACGCTCCAGATTATTTTGGTTTGTCTTCCAGTTCCCGTTCCCGTTTTAACCACCGGATTAATTCCTTTGGCAGACGTACTTCATCTTGTGTTTTTCATATGTATTGAAGTCATATTAGTATTCGTTTCCCTGTACTAACACATGAATAAATATTGCAGTATTTTTTGATTAGCTGAACTGCAGCAGATCAATCGCTGTCTAATGTTTGAGGATGTATATAGCAAGGTGACACTAGCAAATTAAGTCTTAAGACGAGTTTAAGTCTAGGTTTAGACGTATTGTTATACGCATAATGGTTCTTATTTCAAGACTTACCATCTGGTGTGAGGTGTAGATGACTAGGCAGAAACTGCTTAGTTCCGATAGTGAAGATGATACCTGTCCAAATACCATCTTAGGAATAAACAAGTCTTATGCAAACAGATATGACAATTGGAGAAGATTGGAAGAGCTCCAGAAAAGTAGGTCTATGTGTCATGAGTACCGCGGCTTCGGCCTACCGACATGTTAAGGTTCTCTATTTTTCTCTTTCTAGTTAAAGATAGATACGGTGAACTGTCGGATGATTCGTCTTCCAGTGAGGAAGAGGTTGTAAGTTATTCCTTATCTTTTTATTTCACTCTATGGTCGTTCCTATTGTGCTTTGCGTTGGATCAGGATTGGAGTGCTGCCGATGAGATGCGTTTTCTACGAACACTCAGTGCATTGAAAGAGGATAACGATTCCATTTATGACGAAAAGTCTCGGTTTTGGACGCATTCAGAGGTGAAACAAAAGAATGGCCGAAAAACTTTGCAAAAACAACGACAGTCCTCGATGTACCTCAAGGATTATGAAAGAAAGCTAATATTAGAAAAAGAAGGGTTGGTAAACACATAAATTTATTTTTCAAATTTATTTAATTTATGGAAACCATGTAAGACGCAAAGTGATGGTTCTCTTCGTACAAGTGCAAGTGTTTAAGGCCATTATCTTTTTTATAAAGAAAATGTACTTGTATACCTTTACCGTGGCATAGGCATATTGTTATCTTTGGCTTTGTAAGATGTATGTAATATAATATACACCTCCCAACGGTTTACCGGCTCTTCGTGGCTGGAAGGCGTTCCTGGGTGTCGGAATGCGATGTACAGTAGGTCGATTGGTCCCACCGGCAGGCTCTCCCAAGCTGAGGAGTCTGGCGTTTCCATCAGGAAGCGTAGCTTAGAGTAAACCAGTACCAGAATCCACCACCGTCTTAGTATCAAAGTCGCGTGGTGGTAATTCTCCCTCTGATCCACAAGGGCTGCGACTGTCTATGGTGGGGACGGTCTGGGACAGACTTTGGCCAGCCTGTCCTCTGGATTCCAGAGAACCATAATGGCTTAACCAGCAAATCTCCGAAAAATGGTGATTATGCTGGGGCTCGCACAACTAGTGATGGCGGGTCGTTCAAGTATCAAGTATAATATACTTACTTGTATGCTTAAATTGCCCATCTTTACAGACTGTGCGAGCCTCAGCTTAATTTACATTCTCAGAAAATTTTCTGGGTTAGTCATTGTGGTTCCCTGAAGTCGCGAGGCGAGCCTAACCGAGCGCTTCGTCAGCTCGTAGCCAACCTCTGCACTCGCCGCTCTTGTTGATCTTTACCACCATGCGACTAGTTTGATACCAGGACGGTGTTAATTTCTGGTGATAGTTTACTCACATCTGGGCTTCTGGATGGAAACATCGGACTCCTCACCTTGGGATATCCGGCGGGGGTGATGGACTCCTCACTCTACCTCGGGGCCTCGGGTATACCTTCCAGCCACGAATAGGCGGCAAACCATTGCGAGGCGTATATATATATATATATATATATATATATATATATATATATAACTCGGAAGACCGACTTTCTATAAACCTCGGCATAGATAGCTGATCTATTTATTTATGTGATCTTATAACCTGATCTTCTTAAACTGACGCGAGGTTGGTACAGGTCTTCGTTGTCGTTGTCGTTGTTTTTGATGTTATTGATCGATGGCTTACGTTTCGGCGACTTCGCCTTCCTCAGAGTCTGGACGTATTTAATATTAGAATTTTTTTATTATTCGGTGGAAAAGAAAGGTTAAAGTGTTAATGAGGACCAAACTTTTAAATAGACGCCATATTGAACAGAAAGGCCACTCACTGTGCGGGACTGGCCCACGCGTTGTTCTCGTGGAGTCGCGAGCAAGACACACCCAGCAGTCAAAATATCATTTTGAAATATGGCGCCAGGTCATGCGTGATAGTGGGGCATTCGTCTTTCCGGTTGATCTTTGGATTTTTGAACTTTATCCAAAACGCCTCAAGAGTTTTGCGCGTTGATGTTTTCGATTCCTGCGCTAGGATCCGCACATTCACTTCAAAATCATCGCCGTTGTGCTTTTGTGCCGTATGCGTACCTAGAGGAATGTTTAGACGGAAAATTACCCAAAACGTAGGTGTATTCGGTGGGAAACGAACGCGCTATTGTCCTTTCCGGGCAGTAGCGCGTTCACCACCACACAAAGTGAGTCCCGCTGACGGGTGATTGCTGATGGCAAAAGATCGATAGAACTAGCTGAGAGACAGGTGAAAACGAAGAACCGCATAAATAAATATATATATATATATTGTATGGTGTGTGCAGTGTATATGTGTATGATATATGTGTATATATTTACATATAAATACACATACATGTACATGTACACATAAAAGGATAATGGATAAAGCTGTCGGCGTTGATCAATCACTGAGGGATGCGCCACGGATTCGACTTAATTAAGCATCGTTTAGAGGTGATTGGATGCATATCTGGCCTTCACAATGACTCGCCGTGGGCTACCGATATATCGAGCCAATGCTGCTATCCCCCCAGACAAGTCTGGTACCAAACTCGGACCCCTGAAGGATGGAAGGCATGGTGGTGGGCCATGGGCGCGGGGGAATCGATTCCACGTGTGTGAAGCAGTGGCGCCTCCAACCACTGCGCCACACGCGCCATAAATGCGTATATATATATATATATATATATATATGTATATAGGGGTCGATAGCACAGTGATAGTGATGCCGGTCATCGCGAGCACGGTGCTTGTTCGTTCCCATTTTGGGCTCACCAGGCCTCTCATCCCACCGGGGTCGGTAAATTATTACCGCTCTTGTGCGGGGAAAGGACCACTCTCTACAGTCCAGTTGGGGACATTAATCCGGCTACCTCAGAACTCGAGTAAGAATTGGTTCGATCAGCATTCCACGACATTCAAGATGAAATGAAATTCCTTAAGCCACACGTAAAAAGTTGGAAGACTTTCAAAGAGGATTGATTCAAGGAAAGGAATCGAATATGAGGAGCGCTGAGATATGCACAGTAGAGGTGAAGACGGGTTGTGTAAAGAATAAAGATAAAACTCTTGACTTTGATCAATCCTTGAGGGATCCGTCATGCATTGGGCTTCATTACGCATCGTTTGGAGGTGATTGAATGCATATCTGGCCTTTACGGTGACTCGCGGTGGCCTACCGATGTATCGAGCCAGTGTTATTATCCTCCTAGACAAGGCTGATACCAGTTTGCCGACTCCGGAGGGATGGAAGGGTTGGTGGGTCTGGAGAGCAGTTATCAATTCGATGCATATTGCAGAGCGTTTCCGACCACCACCGCTGCACGCGTCCTGGGTCGTATAAAATAAAGAAGACATAAATGTATGCATATACGTAATAAAGTGATGTAATATAACACAACACGTTTGTTAGTCCCCTCTGACTGAGCAAAACCTATCGCTCGCATACTGCTTCCTGCATGGTCAGCTGGGAATGGCAAAGGCATCGCCACTAACAGTTTCTTAGTTTATATATATGTATATATATTTATATATATATATGTATATGAATGTATACATGTGTATATACGTATATATATATATGTCCATACATATGCATATGTATATATATGTATGCATACATATATATGAGTTTATATATATCTTGATTACAAACTAGGTACACTGTTTTTAGACAAATTGACGAAAGCGATGAAGAGGTTCATCAGGAAGATCTCACGTACTTAGAGGAACAGGAGCGGATACGGAATGAGTGTGTTTTTCGCTTTACTTTATTTTGGTCTGCATTATGGGTGTTTCAGCTGGATTTCTTTAAATATTTTTCAAAACTCTCAGGCTTCGTAGGGCAGTTCAAAATCACGATAATTCTGACGATAGTGACAATTCGGTCGAGTTCCTAACACGAAAAGCGAAAACTGCTGAAGAGAAGGTTTCATGGGGACTATCTTTGTTTTGATTTCATATTTTTTTAGTCTGTACTCATTTTTGTTCTAACGTTTTATTATTATTATTTTCAAAAACTAGGAGAGAGAAGAGGAAGATTTTTATTCGTGGATGAAATCACATGGGAATGAAGACGTTAGCGATAACGACTTTTTAAAAGGTCTCAAGAAGGTGGGATAACCAACTCATTGTGACGTTATAAGTGGTTAACGGTTACTGTTCTATATTTTATAGGCGTGGAAGAATCCTGAAATAGATGAAGGAGAGAAGTTCTTGCGTGATTATCTCATGAATGAAGATTTTGTTCCATCTGAAAAGGACCAGTAGGTTCAGCTTTTTTATCAGTTGTGTTTTCATTCAATTGTTAGTCCGCTACAGATGGTGTTCTTTTAATACAGGATTGTAACCTTCGATGATATTCGAGAAATGGAAGAAGATGAGAAAGATCTCGAAATGCAACGAAATTTTGAGCATAAGTACAATTTCCGATTCGAAGAACCTGACCAGGAATTTGTATGTTCGTGAATCCCTTGTTGCAATTGCAAATCTATCGTTGGCTCTCTAAAATATTTCGAAATAAAAGTGGTACATAAGGAGCCCATATTTAACCTGACTAGCGCAAAGGGCTGGGCAGAGAACGGTGTCGATTCGACCTCTATCCGGTCCCATCGGGCCATTCATCCCACCGGGATAGAGAAACTCGTACCAGACTTGATCAGGAGCAGTCCAACTTCTGCAATCCAAGTAGGAATCTTTTAGCTCAGGAATCCAAGGAGAGTCTGCGAGTATTCAGCTACATTCACAAAGAAGACGACAGTCATTAGGCAACAGCCGACGCGAAAACTTCGAATACCCGTAGGTACCGAATACTCGATATGTCGGAGGAAACTAATCAAATGCAAGAAGTGATGAGATCTACAAGGTAGTTGTAAAGAGCAGTCGTGTAACGATAATGATAAGTAGTAATGGCCTACGGTGACCAACTGATGTATCAAATCAGTTCTTTTGTCGCCACAGACAAGTCCGGCGCTCTGTCGACTCTGGAGAGATAGGGCTTCGTTTGCCCGAGGAACGAGACAAAGTCAGCGATTGTGCGTTTATTGCAGAGTAACATCAAAGCTTGTTTTATACGGGTCTGGAAGACAGTGTTAGTAAGCGCTAGTGCAGTGAACAATATCTAAACTTTCCTTTAAACAGTTCTATTTTTTGGTTGTCATTGCGAGTTTAAGATCAAGCAGTACCCAAGAACCGTCGGTGAGTCGTTGAGAAGGCGTAACTCAAAAAGAAAAGAAAAGAGGGAGCAGTATAAGGAAAGGAAGGAGAAAGAGAAACGCGAAAGGAAACAGGTATATATATATATATATATGTGCGGAATTATTACACATTTAATGTACTTTCGTCCATGTGTCATCCTCTTTTGTTTGCTCCAGGAGATTCGTGAAATGAAAAAAATGATGAAGGCCGAAATCGAAAGGAAGTTGGAACAACTGAAGAAGATGGCTGGGGATGATATTGCTTTAAATGTCGATGATCTCATGGGTGACTTTGATCCAAAGGAATATGACAAACGGATGGCGGTTCGTTGTGTACTCATCATTTTTTTAAAAAATACTCTCGTAGTATTTGGAGTACGATATTGATGCAAATTGCTTCACCATTCAGCAAGTCTTCAATGATGAATATTACGGAAAAGGTGATAATAGAGTTGATGAGGACGCCACAAGAGTCAAACTGAGTGATGTAGACGATGTTAGTCATGTCGTTTATGTTGTTTCCTTTCTGTTTTTATGTAACTGACAAGTTAAGGTGTATGTCAAACTTGTTAAGAATGAAGACGATAGTAGTGACTATGATAACTTGTGTGTACCGTCTGCCAGTACTGCACGTGATACTGATAAAACATGTGTGACAAATTGTGAAGATGATCCTGTTCAATGCTGGAGCGCTGGAGCGAAGTTGCAAACAAAAAATGGTAATTTTAACGACTTGTGCTCGTATTGTGGAAGATTCCTAGTTCCTAAGCTCTCGGTTTTGTTAGATTCCCGACGAAAGAAGAAACGTAAGAGCACGTTTTGGAAAGCTCTACACAAGGAGAAACCTCTGTTTAATCCGAACGAGAAGACATTCGAAGAGTACTTCAATGAGTATTATGCTCTTGATTATGAAGACATAATTGGTACACTACTAACCTGTTTTCATGGTTTTGGAGCGTTTCCAGAGATTCACCTGGACTGTTTGAGGTGATCAACTTACTCGTTTCAAGTACCGACAAGTTGTACCGAACGATTTTGGTCTGTCTGTTGGTGAAATACTGTCAGCGGATGATAGGCAGCTTAATGCTTGGGTTTCTCTTAAGAAGGTATACTTTAATGTTTTCATATCACTTGGCTGATCTTTGTAACCGTGAGATTTTATGCTACTGGTTATCGCACGGAACATGAGGAAATGGTCGAAGTGAGACGGTACAAAAAGAAGGCTGCTGACGTGAAAAAGAAGCGACGTATTTTCAGCACTGATTTTGGAAGGTGAGAGAATGAGAGTAATTGACGATTACACAGGAAGAAGATCCTGCCGTTGAAACGTTGTTTTAGAAAGAAGAGTCAAAAACAAGTACTACAACAAGCTATGGATAACGAAAATGGTCAAGTCGGTCATATCGATGTTGAGAACAAGGAGGATGAGACCGCACTTCATGTTTGTTTCTTGGTTTTCCGTTAAAGGTAGATAAAGACAGGTAGTCCAGGTCCACGTATCCAAGTTAAAGAGAACACGTGACTTAACGAAAAGGAGCAAAATCGAAAATGAGTCCGGGTATCACAGTATATAAGGTTTAGGGTTTTCAGTGCTTTTTCAACATACCATGCCGGATCGATGTGCGAATTTTAGTTTCATAGTTACATTTCTCCTTAGTAATTTTTAGGCTCGAACGGAAAAGGATGACCTGGTGAAAAAGGAACAGAGCTCGGCAGAAGAGCTCCGTCAGGGAACAACGCAGTTGAAAACGTCTGTGCAAAATAAACGGCGAATTGAAAAGAAGAGCTCGAAGAACAGACCTAGCTCTTTTTCTAAAAGGGTACTGTTATTTATTACTCTTAGAAACTTAGGTGCTTATTGAACTCTAATTCAGACGCGTACTGTCGATGAAGTAAATGTTAGTGACAGTCGGCTTCGAGCATATGGCATAAACCCAAAGAAATTCAAGAATAAGGTCAAGTTTGACAAGAAGAAAATGAAATTGGATAAGTAAATAGTTCCTGTGTATTCAACACGTGGATTCATTGTCTCTCCTTTCTCCATCTCGTTCGTGACCGTTGTTCTGTTCTTTTGTAGTTGACTGTTTATTGAATATGGTGACCAATTAGGCATTGCAAATAAAAGATTTTACTGCGTCAGAAATAATTTGGTATTGGTCCTATGCCAAAACATTATCTTGATTTCCCTGACATTCTGATGGATAGCCTTACATGAAGACTAAAATCTGATGGCACCATTACGGTGGAAAAGGTAACGAAGAGAAGGGCAAATTGCTGTCCTCAGTAGTGTAGTGGGTAACACGTGAGCCTCAGTAAAGGGTAATCGCGGGTTTGAATCCGGTGTGCGGTCCGAGTTCTGCAAATTTGCAAATATCTCATTGTAGTTGTATTTGACATAATACCCTGTTGAGGAAGTACTGGCACCAAGTAGAAAGATGTACATTGTGATTTCGACCAAAGCCTCAACTTGACTTGGTTCGATGGCGATTTGTGCTCCGCAGATCATTCCCGTTGACTGGTGATGTCTTGTGGCACCGTTAGGTCAAAAAAGAACTGGATGAGAGAAAGGCAAAACAAAGGCCGTAGTGATGCAGTGGGTAAAGCGTGATATCTTGGAAATGATAGTCGTGGATGCCAATCTGAAGTGGGGTGTAAGTTTTGCAAATGTCTAAACAATATCGTGGTTGTACTTCACATAACATTCAGCTGTGAAATAGTAAAGGACAGAAAGTAAGAAGTTATAAATTTAAAATCTAGTATTCTGAACCAAGCTTATCACAACGGTGCATGTGGCGCAGTGGTCGGAGGCGCGCTGCAGCACACATGGGATTGATCCCCCCCACCCCGTGGCCCACCAAGCTTTCCACCTCATCGAGGTTGACAGATCGCTATCAGACTTGTCTGGGAGGATAGCACCACTGGCTCGATACATCGGTAGGCTACCGCGAGTCATTGTAGAGGTCAGATATGCATTCAATCACCTCCAACGGTGCTTAATGAAGTCGAACCCATGGTGCATCTTTCAGGGATTGATCAACGACAATAGTTCTATCCTTTATTTTTTAATGATCTTAAGAAGGAGTGAAGGTGAAAACAAAATTTGACCTTGTATTGCTCAGAATCGTTTGAATTCCGAATTGAACTTTTGCGGGTCGACTATGATTTGTGGACGTAGTTTAACTATCTGTTCAGCTCTACGATATGGGTGGAGTGCTCAGCTATTTCCGTAGTCTCTTCGGACAACGCGAAATGCGAATCCTAATTTTGGGTTTGGATGGTGCAGGCAAAACCACAATTCTCTACAGACTACAGGTAGCATGCCCCTTTAGCTCAAAATCTTCCTGTTCGGCGTATTTTCCTTGCCGGATCGCTCTTACACTATATCATTTTAAGGTTGGAGAAGTGGTTACAACTATTCCGACTATAGGGTTTAACGTTGAACAAGTGGAGTACAAGAATCTGAAATTCCAAGTAGGTGCTAACTTGTCTTGCTCAGATAGTTTTTGTCCGATTTGCATTCGAATCGTAGATGGTTACTTTTCGCTTCTCGAATGCCACTATGTAGAACTCGCAAGTTCGACAGTTTTAAAACTAATCATAGTTCAGTTCTTCGTAAATATTTGAGCTGTGTTTATATAGGTGTGGGACCTTGGAGGACAAACCTCTATACGTCCATATTGGCGGTGCTATTATGCGAATACGGACGCCATTATATACGTTGTAGATTCAGCAGACCGAGACAGAGTATGCCACTTGTTTGTTACACTTTTTTTTTATTGATCTGTACTTTCTTGCTGTTGTTTGAGGTCGGAATATCACGTCAAGAATTGGTCGCCATGCTTCAAGAAGATGAGCTTCAAGGAGCCGTACTTGCCGTTCTCGCCAACAAACAGGTAAGAGGAAACTTTGTCGAAACATCACTTCTCAATGAGAAAAACAATGAGCATGGTTACAGGATATTGCAAATTGTCTGACTCCGGCCGAAGTCCATAAGGCGCTAGGCCTCGAAGCTTTGCGAAATCGAACGTTCCAGATCTTCAAGACGTCTGCTTCTAAAGGGGAAGGTCTCGATGAGGCAATGGAATGGCTCGCAAACAGTTTGCAGCAAAGAAAGTAGCGTTATGGATATGATGGCAATTTGCCGACTTAGCTAAATGTACTTCCTAATGGTTACTGGTACAACTCATCTCTGTTCTAACATGGTCTGGAACATTAACCTGTTCAAAGGGTGTTGGCACTTCTTGCTTGCTTTTATACCATGTACAATCCTTATCTCAAAGGAGGTTTAACACACATCTTTCGGAAGTTCACTACAAAGATTGCGCATGTGGCGTACTATATAAACTACCAAACCCCTTAGCATTTACAATTGCCTCAGTGCGCAGTTAACTCTACGGCGGTAAATTTCTGTGACTGTTGCCTGTGATTACTGTAATTATCTCTATATTGTATCTAAAGGTCTTTCGCTTGGCTGTGCAGGATTGTTTAAATGGTGATCACATAAAGGTGACAGGTAACCTTGTGTAGATGATTCTGTGAATCATGCTCTACACAGAGTAGATCTCACTGGCACATACGTTTCCCGTAGGATACGGACCACTATCGAGGAAAGAAACGACTTTATGAGATTACAACCATATTTAAAAAAGAGCTAAGCATTGGACTAAATTTCTTCTTCACCAGATTTGTGCAACAAGGAAGTTTAGGAACCAATCGGAAGTTTATTTCTTTGCGCGTTTTTTCTTTGTGCAGTACTTTGACGCCAAAGAGTCCAGGTACGCGTCCGTATCCGAAGAACGAACTAATTGACGCTGATGAATGATTTGCTCAAGAGAACCACCACCTTCCTAAAATAACGGCTGTTACAGGATTGCTCTGGTGAAAATGAAAAATAGTACAGTTTCACGAACGGATTCTTTCGGGATAAAGGACATGTGCTCAACATCGTAACAATAATTCCAAACGGCTTATGATAATACATGAATAACTCGAGAGGGTGATGAAAACAATGGTGGTAACTTTTGACAGTTCAGATTGAAATCGGAACAGCAAGCACATCTTGCAGAAGACGAATCCTTCTTTGAAAAATATACCTCGGTTTTTATTTTTTCCAGTACCGCTTCTGCTTCTTTGGCTTCCTTCATGCCCCTCTTTCTTCGTTTGGCTGAGGCTGCCTTCAAATTGATTATTGAGGAAAGAAGCGACTTTAACGCAATATTTATTTTAGCACCTCGGACGTGGAAGTTTTGTATTTTGCTGTCTTCTTTAATACTCCGCTGGAGATATTCCGTTCGATGATTTCCTAAAGTCAATATTATGTAGTACAACACAAAGTCACTAATTCACTTAGCTAGGATTGGAGAAGTACTAGTAATATCTGTGCTTTCCGACTTATATGGATACCCGGATGGCCCATTTGCACTGGTTAAGCGGGCTCCAGCATGATTTCCCTTTTTTCGGAGTTTTCCTCGTCTAGCTATTGTGGTTCACCCGAACTCCGAATTCAACCTGGCCAAAGTCTGTCCCAAGTCGTCACCACTACAAGCAGTCGCCGCCATTGCGGATCAGAGGGGGATTTGCCACCATGTGACTAGTTTCACACCAGGACGGTGGTGGATCATGGTATTGTTTACTCTTAGATAGGCTTCCTGATGGAAACGCCTCGACTTCTAAGCTTGGGAGACCCTGCTGGGGGGACGAATCCCACAACTGTACATCGTAGCACGACGCCGAGGAACACCTCCCAGCCACTGTGAGGCGGTAAACCGTTGAGTGCTTCTCGCCCACATCTTGAAAAGTTTTATAAGGAGATGCGCAACCAGTATACAACTCTCGTTACCTTAATTCTTACCTTAATCCTATCTTCCTCATCGAATGCCACCACACAGACATGTTGCATAATTTTTGACATATCACCTTTCCACGAATTGTAGGCTGCGATAACATCCTTCTCTTCCTCCTCAGATCCTGTACAACGAAATGATAGCTGAAATGACTACAGCAAGAGTAAGGGAAAAAACAGACCTTTGTACTGAGCACAGAATTTCTCGACATCTTCTAAAGTCACTTTTTTAAACAGCCGTCGCCAGGCATTTATACTGTCTACGATGCTTAGGTTTTCTTCGTCGATGGTACCTAAAAACGGTGGAACAGCAGAATCAACAACGCAAGTAAAAGCGCACTGTTCTCAAAAGTAGGACCACTTAGACTTTCTAGATGACGAGTAAATAGCTTCGTCATCAGCGTCCAATTGCAATACGCATAGTGTTGGACATTTTTGGGTTACCCTAACGAGTACTGAATGCCGTTAAAAATAAGGATCACCGGATTCATCATAGAGACCTCTCCTTTCTTTATCGGAGAGTATCTCATAGGCCTTCGTAAGTATCTGGAACTTCGCAGTAGCTACCATTCTCGAATCCTCGTCAACTCCAGCCTTATCTGGGTGCCACTTCATGGACTGCTTGTAATAGCCCTTCTTGACTGAAAAATTGAACTCAGAGAAGCCTAAAATAGCCATGTAACGGCAAAAATATTCAAGGAAAGCCTACGTTCTGATGCTGTAGCCGTCCGCTCCACACAAAGGATGTCATAAAGGTTGTCCGTATTAAAGTGATGCTTACAATCGGTCAGCAACATCGCACTCGACTCGAACTGTCTGAGAGTTCAAACTGCTTATGACAACTACTTCGCCTGTACAATTTGAACTGAGCGGAATGCTAGAAGGAACTTAATGGGATGGATGTCGTCCCGCCAAACACTGTAAATAGGTGTGTTTGCTGTTATTATCACAAGAGTAATGAAATAGAAGACGAGATAATCCTCACTAAAAACCATTACTTAGCTCTGTGCAACAGCTAGCATGAGAACTAGAACCCACGAAACTCGTTCGATTTCCTGAGTTCATCTTGTGTTCATAGTACAACATTAGATGGATGGTTACCTAAATCTAACCACGATCAATCCCGCTGACGGATGACGTGCATGCTGATGGCAGCGTTAGGTAGAAAACTAGCTGAGAGAAACGCAAAGCAAGGGTCTCCGTAGCGCAGTGTGTAATGGGCGACCCCCGGAAAGAGTAATCGTGGTTCGGTCTGGCTCGGGGTCCAAGTTTTGCGAATATCTCGGCACTGTTGTGCTCGTAACCGCGATATTTGTCGTCGGTTAGTCTAAAAAAGGAGTGGAAGAAATGCAAATGACCTTAAGAGTGGAAAAAGAGCTACTACTGTAAAAAGAGCAAGTAGAAGACAGGTAATAAATGCTGATGGTTGCACTCGTGCACAATGCTTCCACTAATTTTACTAAATATTACTTCAAAATCACTTTGTTAAATATTTCACAACTACTGACAATGGAAGCATAACGATGGTAATGAATAGGATGCAGAAGCTGATTCACAAACACAACATCAGATTTTGCTGGACGTTCTGGCGATACCATGCGCGTTGAGCTCAATGCGTACACAGGCTAACCCCGAACAATACGTGCGACCCTTCAGTGGCTTACATCGTAGTCAGAGCTTTTCGACAAAACGTTTGGAGCAACTAGGTTGCTCGTCGAACACGGATTTGGTGAGATGACCACGCGAAATTATCCGTGGTCATGAAAGTGTTAGACGACGCCACGTATATTAAAAAACGGCGTTGCAGCGCTCGCCAAAAAACCGCACATTCTCCATAGAGCACATTTATTATCTGGCGATAGTTTCGTGTCTTCGATGTAAGTACTGTTTCGTTTCTATTTTTACGTATTATTTTCATATCATTGGATAGGCTGCTTATTATTGACCTAAATATGAATGTATAACTGTTTCATTTGAGGCCTTTTCCCATTTGGCATCTTTGTGGTGAAAGCATGTCTTCGTTTATTTCCAACTTTGTACCTACTTCTTACGGAGATGCACTATGCTTGGGCGGGAAAGTGTTAGAAACTACTGGCTTGGTTTAACTCCGTGTCATTTTGCCTTGTTTTTAAACCCGAAAGGTCCATTTGTTATCCCTATTTTAATAAGAGTGTAGTGTTTTAAGCAATGCGTCGTGATGTTGGTCACGTGTTAGACCATTTCCTCCTTTGTTGAAATAATGCTTTTTATGTTAACCCTTTATTTGCTATGTTTTATAATTTTTCACGGCAGGGTTTGATGTGAAATACAACCACAATGATGCTAAGATATTCGCAATACTTGGATCCCGGACCAGTGAACCACGAACCACTTTCCGACACTCGCACGTAACACTCTGCACCACTAAGACCCATAATTTACTTTCCTGTCAGCTAGTTTTCTACCTAATACCTTTTGTATTTGGTTCTTAGTGCAATGTTCACTTTAAGAAGTCACTTTAGTTTCAGAATAAATGGCGCTTAATGTGCTTGGAAATGATGGTGCCCAGGAAATATCACATGTCGAGGACGACAAGAACGTATGAGTCCAATGACTTTCGTAGATATTTCAATATCGCTAATATGTTCTCGAACGCAGCAGAATTAATCACTGGATAACCATAATGACGCTGAGATATTTGCAAAATTCCTCACCGCTGGTGTCCGCGGTGGGGAACGAACGCTATTACCCTTTCCCGGGTGCTAACGCGTTCACCACCACACCATGTGGGCCCTTCGTTTCGCTTGTCTCTCAGCCTTATTTTAACCTATAGCTGCTATCAACAATCACTGGGTGCTTTTTCTATTTAAAAAGGATGCAATTGTCTTTTAGGGCGAGTCGAGGTTGGTTGACATCGACGACCGTGAAGAATACTTTGTAAAACCACTCTATACTTACTACTGCAACTGTGGTCAGGTGAGTTGATTCTGAGAACGAGGTCTCACTTCATCCATGAGTGCTAATGTGCGTTTTTAAGTTTTCAGTAGATTTAGATGGCTATGATCAGTGATTCTCTACTCATTCGTATGCCACTTCGTAAAAGAGACGGTGCAAGGGTTATCGATCCAGAAAGGACAACTGCAAAGACATTTTCCACTCCGGGAGACACCGTATATGTACAGAGGTTAAGTGATCTTATTGTTCATCTCAAGTTTATGCTGATTTCTTGACATTACACGATCCTAGGTTATGTTATTCAGCTAGACCCGCTTGATGCAATAACTTCATGTGTCAGGATTGATTTGCATGATAAGCTGATAAAATACTATCTACTTGGATACTTGGATGGTCCGTCTTCACTGGATGTGTTGGTCCCAGCATAATTTGCACTTTCTCGGAGTTTTGCTGCTTTAGCTACAGGGAAATAATGATATTTGGGAAATAAGTGTAGCATAACATTTGCGATCGAAGCATAAGTACATATTAACTATCACCACGTCTGCAATCACGATTCAACCTTCTGTAGCGTATTCTCCAGAAGCGCATGTGTTAACTCAGGAGATATCACCACCGTCGTGGTATCAGACTAGTGGCATGGTGATAGATCTCCTTCTGTTCCCCAAGGACGAGGACTGCCTGTGGTGGAGACGACCTATGGCAGATTTTGGCCTGGCTGACCTCCGGACTTCAGGGAACCACAATGGCCAAGCCAGCAGAACACCGAAAAGTAGAAATTTTGCTAGGGCCCGCACAACGCGTTAATACGTGTCTAAGTACGTATATGTGTACACATGCGTAGATATACATGGATTTAGCTGACGGAGAAAGCTGATAAATGTTATTGGTTCATTGCCAAGCTATTAATTCTGAGGAAGGGTTTGGAAAGAAAGCCTCTATTGTTGCCCCTTCATGCAACCTGCACATCAGATTTTCTCACTGGAACCAGTCCAATTTTGAAATGGGGTTATTTTTGTGGATGTGTTATATGTGATTGTGCAATGAGACATATTTAGACGTGAAGGTTTGGAGCAACAGTACCGAAAAAATTGTAAAGGGTGTGGAGTTCCACTCTTTTACCAGCACCCTTTCAATCTGAAACTCGTTTTCATCTTTCGAGACGCTTTACTGTCTGCCCAGGAAGTTGGAGGATTTAGTGGGAATAACGAAGAACAACGAGCGAAAAAAGTGCGTCATTTGTAATTCCTAGCATTAGCTGCAGATGTATGAATAATAATCTTCAGATTATCATGAAGAGGAACGTCAAAAATCAGGGGAAGATGGGATCAGTTACGGTATCCACGATGGAGGGAGAAGAGGAGGAGGAAATTGAAGCAGTGAGTTAACCTCTTTTCGCTCAACGATTACGTCCCTGAAGTACATGCTTGTTTTCATTTCATATCACTTGACAAGGATCAATTACTCTGTCTATTTTCGTAAAACCCGATCGTTTGTTTAGCGTGAGACGGCAGAATCGTACTCAATGAATGCACGTATTGTTCGGGACGCTTTAAGACGAAAAGGAATGATCAAAGACAAACTTCTGGGCGGAGGAATCTCTGGTGCACCGGCACCCAAGAAGCGAGGAACGTTATTGTAAAGTTTCCAAGACTGATATTCTATTAATAAGGTTAACGATTGCTTTATCTACTGTTGGTAAGACAGCACGATATCACTGCGTGATATTTACTTCCACCCGTCAGAAAATGAGGAAATTTTGGTCTCATATGCTTGAGCAAGTCCTAATTGTATGCTGCATTATCAAACATTACTCCAAATTTATAGCAAAACTGTCTATTTGAGCTTATATGAAATAAACGAAACGAGCGCTTGTATTCATACGCATTCGAAGGCAGAAGTAAAGAACCCTAAAGTGGTGGGGTTTCGCTTTTTTTAGAGGATTGGGGTAATGCATAGGATTTTTCTCACTTCTGGCAGATTCAATCTGCGGGTTAGTTTCTGTAACACATTCACAACCAAGCTAATTTCTTCAGTAACAGCTGATAGCTTTTCCCATAAATGGACTACATGAGAATCAAAAGATTTGCCAGATTTATAAGTCTATCTTCTTCTGTTTAGCAAACACAAGGTGTTATTTTATTTCTTTATTTACGCACAAGCTGACGTTTTGGCGGATTTCGCCTTCATCAGAGCCTGGTAAGGTCAAATTCACTGCAATCTACACGGCCAAACACCTCCATAACCAAATAGAGAAAATGCTGAACCAAAATTTCAATCATGTTGAACACAGAGTCTTTGCACACTCACTGTTTTCTATGAGTCTTCCACTAAATATGTCACGTGAAGACCAGCCGCCCAGAGTTCACATGAAATCGTAATGTGCCCATCTCATCCGAATAACAGGCTTATGTACTGCCCAATATCACGCGTGATAATGAGGCATTCCTACCTGCGGTTCATTTTCGGATTCTTGGAAATAATTCACAATTCCTCGAGTTTTGCGCGCTTGTGTTCCCAATTCCTGCGCGAGGATCGTAACCGCTACATCAAAATCTCCGTGGAAGACTCATAGAAAGCGGTGAGTGTGCAAAGCCTCTGTGTTCAATATAATTGAAATTTTGGTTCAGCACTTTTCTGCTTGGATATGCAGATGTTTGGCCGTGTAGATTGCAGTCAACTTGACTTTTCCTGGCTGCGAAATGAGCTTAGTAGCCGTTTCTGACTTTTTAAGAACTCTTAAGATAAATGCTCAATTTGCAATATTTGAAACCAAACTAGTACAGGTAAACGGTGCTCGAGAAAAAACATTTAGTGGAAACGGCTCTTGTTCCTCATTACTTGCTAGTGATGTTATCAAAAATTGATGCGCTCTACGTCTAACAAGTATATCGCGTTCCTTCACAGGTTCATTCAGGGTTATACGGGGAAAGGCGATACGATTACAGAACATCATAGTTCATTCCCGTTAAGCGAAGAAACTGGTATTCGGTGCCAAATTCGTAATCGAGCTCTGACTTCGTTAGGAGCGTGAATGTGCCAATCATCGGTATCGTACTTTAGTTTGTTAAACGATCACATGATCATTGACCTCCTATGTACGTGACATTGGAGAAATATGGGATACTTGGTAGAGATAAATGAGTCAGGAGATCGCACGAAGAGAACGGTAGAGTAGACATTGAGCGATGTGTCTCAAGTAACAAAAAAACTGGATGACATTGAAAAAACCGGCCTCCTAGGGGGAACCTCTTGTCTCACGAGTTCTTTCATTACAGAACTGCCAAATTGTTGGGCTTCAAAAAATTAGCGTATCAGCTGAACAAAGCTGTCGGCAATGTCGATTCAACAACTCTTCCGGAGCAAGTGCAAGCCAAATGTCAAGAATGCGAGGGTTACAGGGTAACCTTGTTTGTAATCGTAATGTGAACAATGTGTATCTAAATACTCCGAAGGAAATCGTCAAAACAATGCCAGAATCCTTCTGCTCACTAGCAAACCATAATCAGTTCTAAGCTAAGGATAAGATTTTTTGAGCGAATTCGTTGGGTATTGTTTGGCTTCTTCTACTGGAGCAAAAATGTGCTCTTGTTTACAACTAACTTCAATCAACTCCCCACACTGCGCCACTTTCTCTCTGGTTGCGGAAATATTCAAGCATGCCGTCCCACGTGAGCTGATGATTTGAATGACACCATAGGTACTGGAGTGGAATGAACGGTGTCTTCTTCTTACAATCAGCAGCTACGATTTCTATGCTCGTAGCACCACATTATACAGAACATTCTAACAAAAAAAGCATCGCGGACAGTTGGAACAGTTTGTGTGCTAAATTCTACATAGGAAGGCTTTTCTGAGTGAGCCACCCTTGGACGTGAAAGAGTGCCTGATTCCCCAAAAAAAGTTTAGGTTGATTGCTCACTTCTTCACTGTGATTTGAAATCATACAGATATGTTCGTGTAGCGCACATGCAGTGCAATGGCTAGAGGTGTCATGCAATAAATAGTGAAAAGACCGCTATTTCGATCCTGCATCCCAAGTCCACCTTGCCTTCCATCCTTCCGGGCTCAGAAAATTGGTAGCAAACCTGACTGGAAGGATAGTAGCGCTGACTTGGTATATTGGTACGCCACCGCGTGTCATTGTACAGTCCAGATTTGCATTCAATCACCGCTATAATGCCTAAGCCAGTGGAGTCGAATGCATGGTGAACTTCTCTGGGATTAATCAGTGCCACCAGCTTTAATAGAGATGTTCCAAAATTTTCGCCGAAAACGTTCAATAGGAACCAAATGTGTACCTTTCAAGTATTTATAGTACACTCACCGTTTAAGGCAGCCTTAATTGAAACATGTGAGGCTATCATGCAGATTATGCAAGGTAGTCCTGATCATCTCCCACCGGTGAACTCAACACAGGCCAGTGTTTTAGAACCTTTCGTTTTTCGAATTCTTTCTCCAGTTGAAGTATAATTTCCGGTGTTACCATGCTTAAACTAATTTATTTGGAACGCGTTCCTTTAGTACATCGCAGACAAATAGGCATTTTAGCAGCTGGAATATCCTGCTAATAAGGCGCCAAGCGAAGTGTTCGCCAAGAGTCTTAAGAACATGGAACCATTCTGGTATGACGAGGAGGTGAAGCGGCTTTAATCTATTGTTAATGGAATGTACTCGACTTGAGTTAAGTATATGCGCTTGGAAATCCACATTTCGTTGTTCTCAGATGTGCATTGAAAATGCTACAGCTAGCATCCAGGTGTAGATGATCTCAGGATTTAGAGGAGGCCTGAATGTTCATTCGCGTCCATGCGAAAAACTCTCAAGCCCAAAATAGTTGTCCATTAGGTCGCTTGCTTCAAATACAACCGCATTCAACTACTGCGGATTTTCGCTTTTCCAACCATCGCAGGCTCAGATAATTGCAACAGTTTCCTCCCTTCCCGAGACCGACTTTATATTAACCTTGGCATTGACTGATAATTCACTGCTTTTTTTTAACGAGCAGAAACGAGGCTGGTATTTCAGAATTTAGCAGCACGTAACAGCTCACGTTTCAGCGGTGTCGCCTTCTTCAGAGCCTGGAAAGGTCAAAATCGCATGCAGTCTACTAAGCCAAACACTTTCATAAACTCAGCAGATAAGACTTAAGACATAAATTTTCATCCACCTAGTAAACAGCTTCTGACAATCCTGCGTCTACGGACCCGACTACCTTCAAGATTAGACCCATCATCAGCTGTGTAGACGTGCTTGCGGATAGAGTGGTTACTTTATTAACCTAATCTAGTTGTGGAAGCGCATCCCAGGCCAACTCATGATTGCTCAAATGATCCTGGATCGTCTGCACAACGCGACCTCTAGCTGCGCGTGAGCGATGAAGCTATTCGACATTACCGCCGTTTATACAAAAGTACCCATAGAATACGAAATACAACCCATCCGCTAGCTTCTTATCCAACCATTACGAAGCACTAAACATCTATCGCTTCTATATTGAGCAGTTCATGGTCCTCTTAAGGGTGCCTGAACCACTCGATGTTCAGATGTTTTGAGAAATAATACGCACAAATTAGATCGCTGGTAGTGGGACAGCGATTGTCACCAGCCTTTGCTATTGTCCTAATGTGTCAGGTGGAAGCGCCAGTGATCAATTTCCGGCCATTGCTTTTCTGCAGATATATAGATGATAGCTTTGTCATATGCTCCACACATCGGAATAAACAACATTCACCTGAGAGAAACAGTAAGAAAACTGGGTTCCACCCCAGAATGGTCAAATTAGCCTATCCGAAGACGGCGGCATTACGCACTGGATTATTATGATTCGATTATTATAAAATGCTAATGAAATCCATGTAGTAAGGAAATAGCACTTCATTACCTCACACCAAAGGGGCGCTTATTAGAAATATGTTTCAAACAGCCAAACAATAAACTGTAGTTCCTCGGGATAGACGTAGGGGAAAAACCACACCCATAAACGATAATTCTAACGAGGATAAAATCCCGTTTATCCTGCCTTTTATTTCCAGCGAAATAAGTGCATCTACAAAACGTTGCTTAAGAAGTGCCCTTCTAGACAACTCGGTGACAGTGGTAGAAATGCTACCTGACACTCTAAGGCGCAGTTAGTTCAAAACCGCATATATGACCGTCTGTGTACAACGAAAAACTGCGTAATTTGCGAAACAATCATAATGATGCTAAGATATTTGCAAAACCCCAAACCTCAGGTGTCTGCGGTGGGAAACGAAAGCGCTATTACCGTTTCCGGGAGCTAACACGTTCACCACCAAACCACGCATGTCCTTCGTTTCGCCTGTCTCTCAGCCTGTTCTATCGATAACTACGATCAGGTCATGTAGAATGCAAGAAAACTATGTTGTTTGAAATCACAATGTTAACATTTGCAGCTCATTACAATTCTTCAAAGCAGGGTACTATGTGAGATGCAAGCATAATGATAATAATTCAACTATAGCCTCAGCTTAACTGGGTTCAATGCAGATTTGGACCCCCACCCAGATCAATCCCGTTGACGAGTGATTGCTGATAGCAGTGATCGATAGAACTAGCTGAGAGACAGGTGAAGCGAAGGACTCGCATGATGTGGTGGTGAACGCGTTAGCCCCCGGAAAGGGTAATAGCGCGCTCGTTCCCCACTGTAGACATCTGCGGTCCACAGTTTTGTAAATGTCTCAGCATCACTGTGGTTGTTTCACAAATGGTACTTTGACGTGAAAACCTGTAAAGGGCAGTAAGTAAAAAGTCAACATTGCATAATTTGCTCCAACAGCAGAGAGTGATTCCATGAGTTCGAGTACGGTGTACCTTTTCTCTTGCAAAGCGTGTGGAGAAGAATACGTTGATAAAACGGATAGACCGCTTTGCGTCTGCTTAATATCAATCTTATTACTTGTCCTAGTCTGTCAATCAATGTTCAGTCTTATGTCTGATAACGTAGATAAACCTCCACCGCACAGGTCACCTTTTTAGCGTTGTATAGCACCCGCTAGGACCTATCGGAATATCTTTTCCGAAACTTTTCTGCAGCAGTTTCCAAGGTCCCGAATACAGTGTAGCTGTCGTTACTTAATAATAATAGCTTAATAAAAACTGCCGGAAGTGGCTGCGATTGAGCGTCAATGTTAACATTTATTCGTAAGGAACACAGTGTCATAATTGTTGATGTTAGTTGAACGTCAACTGGATTCGCTTACGAAACACTACGAGCGATCCTTCAGATTCGTGGTCGGGCACCCTAAACTCGAAAAAACTATCAGCTATTGAAGAATTTTCGACTTATTCTCCATCGTAATTGCCACGACAGAATGGACAGCCACGAGACTTGAAGGTACGGTCTTTTACATTACCTATAATACCACCTGTTGAACACCCTACCTTCTGGGCATTATACGCGTCCACCATATGTCGAAGCTTAGTTCCAAAGTCTGCATGTACCTGAAAATACCCGATTCATATAATGATCCAAGGTGACTCTGGAAAGACATCGGACCATTTAGCAAAGGTATCTCAATTCCATTCATCCCAGGGCATATGGTCTGTCATGAGAGTCGAAACACTTCAGACCGAGATATATAGAACAGTAAGAAACTTCAGGCTCGAAACCCGCATTTTCTACGACAAGTGAAGCTTTAGAAATTTAGGTTCTTAAAGTGGTTTACAACTAACCTTTCTGAAATTTTCAATTGCGCGATCCTGAATGTATGGCTTGCAGTCCTTCATCGTCTGGAACGTGTTCTCAACTAGTCTCTCCCGTTCCCCATTGTTCAATACCTAAATAATGGAAATACCTTCAATATGGGGATTTTCGACTCTATTAGAAAACTGTTGATGAATAATACAGATCATTCAGACACTTCGATCGGTGACACGTGTAACTCACTCAGTACGACTCTAACTTGCGAAATCAAATCTGGAATCTTAACCTTTTTTATTTACTGCCTATTCTTTTTAATGACAGGGTATGTTGCGAAATATAACTCGTATAATGCTGAGATATTTGCAAAACTCCAGACCGCAGTTGTCTGCAGTGGGGAAAGGACAATAGCGCGTTCGTTCCCCACCGCAGGCACCTGCTGTCCGTAGTTTTGCAAATATCTCAGCATTATACAAATCTGGAATATTCTACTCATACGAAAAATCGTAAGAGGCTACCAACCTTAGTCCAAAATTCTCGTGGCTGGTCGAAATTATCGTCGTTGATGGATTCGTGACGCTCCACGTCTCCAGATATTGACCATCTGCTTTCTACCGCTCTTGGACACTCCATACCACCATTGAAACTGTTTGGGAAGTAGTTTGGAGCATTGCCTTGAAGAATTTCTGTCAACTTGATTGGCCGAATGTCGGTGGAATCAGTGAAGGCTACAACTACTACAGTTGTTCTTTGCCATTATTCAACTAGTTAGCAAAGACGCAACATGTTCCATACAAAAGGCATTTAACTGAAAACGTGAAAGAGGTTCTGTAATAATCTCCATCCAGGCTTCGTGAGAACGCATGCCAATGGAATTTTTCAAAAACTGCGAAGCTTCCTGTTTCATCCATTTCTTAAAGCTTTCATAGCCATTTTTAACCCATAGCCACCGGTATGAATCGAATCCAAGTCATAATTGACTGAAAGTAATCGCTCCTTTCAAATGTAAACAAACATATCTAAGCTCATAATGAGTTTAACTGAAGAATTAAGCCGTCGCAAAAGTAACTGCACTTTCGAACCGTAGATTTTAAATCGTTAGGTAGATATACCAGCTTTTTCGTTCAGTATAAATACCGTGTATGCTAAATATATTAATATTAAAGTTTACATTTTTTATTTAACCCAATAGAACAGCACTCCGATATTCTCGGAGCCACCAGTTCTCCAAAGACATTTGAAAATCGCCGCTACCAATTCTGACACAAGTTTCTCTTTTGTAGGGAAAATGGCCATTTGTCGTATTATGATTATGATAGTATTATGATCTGCGATTAAAATGGGATCACATATAATGAGGCTCTGCGCAGTAGTTTGACCGACGTGCAGCAGTCTCTGAAGGAATGTCTAACGCTGAGTTTGCACCGAACGAGGGCCTTATGGGGACTTGTTCGTTCTCGGTGGAGGGAATCACACCCTGGCAAAACGAGCAAAACGGAGATAGGCCTTCCTTAAATCGACGAAATCCTACAAAACTGCAACGTATATTTCGAAGCTTATCAAGAAAGAATACATATTGATTAGTCACACCGAGGTTTAGGGAAGGTCGGTTTCGAAATATTACTACGCTTTGTGCTAGCTGATAATACACCGACCTCTGCACGATGTGCGCAATGATGTATGTCCGGAAGAAATACAAGTTGTTACCACCGGACATTGTCATTATATATCCACCATCAGCATCATGTATAAAAGGGCATCACTGAGTGAGGATGCCTCATTCGAGAAGATGGCTCGCTGAGGAAGATCTGGCTCGACAGGAAGGCGAAGACGCAACGTCGAGGCGAACAACAAGCATGGACCATCGACTCGGATCACCGGCTCTGAGGAAGACGAAGACGTCGAAACGTTAGCCGAAAATAAATATATTTATCAACCTCGTGCAAGCTTATCAAGAAAGAATACATATTGCAACGTATATGTCTACACATTGCCAACAGAGATGTTCCCCAACAGTCTGGCACAAAATCGTTCCATCAGTTGTTGCATGGCTAACGCCACAATAGTCAAACGAGTTGGGCTAAGAAAACCTGCCCCATGCATCGTACTCATCTGAACCTCTTGCCTAATCTCAACAACATCATTCTATCGGGATAAATAAACTTGTATTATGTTGCCGACGATGTGTATTTTGGTCGAGTCCAGTTACAATCGTCGCTTTTAATTTTTT